TAAAATGTATTTCTTTTTATCTGTCAATCAAGTCCTTTCCCATGGACCTGGGATAGGCAGACGCGGTTGTTTGATGGTGTTAAAAGGCTTGTCACAGGATATCAGCTATTTCAACTCAAGCTGCCTTTTGCAATTGACTGATGGGTATTTAGTCAATGCCGATGGTGTTCAATTATTATTTTTTATGATGATGATGATGATGATAATGATGATGATGATGATGATGATGATGATGATGATGATGATGATGATGATGATGATGATGATGACTGGCTGCATGGCCAAATAGCTGTTTAGATTGGATTTGACTTTTTTAATCCGCCTCCCGAGTCCTTTCCAAGGACCTGGAGAGGCAGATAATGTTGTTTAAGTTTAAGAATACTAAAATTCTCCTTGGGAGGCATCAGCCCAAGGTCCTGTCCAATCAATTTGCAGTTTGAGTTGGATCTCCCAATTCTTGGTGGATCAGTGTGTTGGCTTTGAATTTGGATGTTTGTAGAGCTGAGCCACGTCTGCAACCCTGCACAACCTTTTGTGGGTTATCCTGAGGGGTCCCACCGCCCTCAACTCCCCCCCCCTAGAATAATTAGTTTGATAGATTCAGAATAACAAAATTGGAAGGGACCTTGGAGGTCTTCTAGTCCAGCCCCCTGCTCAAGCAGGAGACTGGACAGACAAATGGCTGTCCAATCTCTTCTTAAAATCTCCAGCACTATAACTTCTGGAGGCAAGCAGTTCCACTGGTTAATTGTCCTCACTGTCAGGAAATTCCTCCTTTGTTCCAGGTTGCTTCTCTCCTTCATTGTCCTGGTGCTTTGGAGAAGAGGTGGACCCCCCTCTTTTTTGTGGCACCCCCTCAAATAGTGGAAGATTGCTATCATGTCACCCTAAGAGGTGGTGGGTTCAGACCCCCAACTCCGATAATTCCTTCCTGGCAACAGTGAGAAATCCAGTTTTTTAATGGCATTGGTGCAGAAACCCTGAGGATTTAGGACCCATCAATTTAGGACTTGGGGAATGTTGCAGAGGGGCGAATGTTTCCAGTGGTCTTCGGAGACCCCTGATTTTATTTTTCAAAATATTCTCCACTGGCACTGAAGGAAGGAGATTTACCCCTCTGTCCAGCCCCTCTTAACAGGATAACAGACTTGAAAGGGACCTTGGAGGTCTTCTAGTCCAACCCCCCTGCTTAAGCAGGAAAGCAAAAGAGGATCCAGAAATAACTAGATTGACACCGGGCATGGGGGTATGTTGGGTGCAAAACATATGTCTGGGCTTCAGGGACTGGGGGAAGAGGCTGTTGCATCAGGGGAGCAGACTAGATGATCTCTATGGGCCCCCCAACTTTCCGATTCCGTGATTCTGAATTTCTCTTAACTGCTGTGTATAGTTACCCCACTTCCTTGGAGGCACAGAAACCAGGGTTTGTTTTTAAAAGAAGCTTCTATCTATACAAGTTGTGATTTTTCTTTTTCGTGTCGAAATTCTGGGGGTGTTTTTTAACCCTGACTTTTAAATCCGCCCACCCGGTTTTGGATCTGTCAACATTTTTTTTTATGCAGTTACTTACTTTTAGTAAAGACCAAAAAAATAACAATAATAAGATTTTGAAAACGCGAAAGGAACAAAGAAACAAACTAGCGAAATCCAGCTTTTAAATTTAATTTATAACATTCCGGTTTTGGCAGGGATATATAAAATCTTATGTGCAACTTTATATATATTTATATATATATATACTGTATATATATTTAACAGAATATTTATCTCTGAGGTACACATTTGAAAATGAGAGGTTTTGGGGGGTTTTCAAAGCGAAGTTCTGAGCCGCTAATTTAAAAAAAAAGAAGAAAAAAAAAGAAAACATGCAGAATTTAAACAGTCCTGGGATAAACTCTGCTAACATCAGAGCTGAAAATTAAAAATATTCTGGATCTGGAGGATCTTTCTTCACAGCTCAGCTAACAAAAAGAAAAAAAAGCCTCAAACTCTAGGAAGATTCTAAAGTTTGGCGTCAGGAGGTCTGGAAAGTAAATTTGAGAAGACTTTTTTTCTTTTTCTTTTCTGGAATGGAAATCTTCTGGCCCCAGGTTTGAAAATTTCTTGATATCAAGACAATGAGAGGGTCAAACGAATCCCCCAAGTAATTAATACTGCTGCATGAATAACAGATTTGAGATCAAAGTGGGGATCGCCCAGTTCTTCTGCACAGTGGGTCCAAGGTCGTCTTTCGAACTCGGCTCAGCCTCTTTACTTCTTCCCTTTCGGCACACGGGACCCCTTGGCCGCATCGCCCATTATGTCCCAGTATTCTCCAAATTCAAGTTTTGCTTCTTCATTATCCCCCAGACATTCAATCTTCTCTTCCAAAGGCCCGACACCCTGTTGGGGGGGGGGGGAATGAAAGAAGAAGGAAAAAAATTAAAAATGAAGAATGAACAAATCTTAATTTTATTTATTTATTTATTGCATTCCTGCTCTTGTTTTAAAAAAAGGTGCCCAGTTTTGAGATTTGAGATTAGATGGTTTTTTTTTTAAAGAGGATTTCATGGATTTAATCCTTTGCTTAAATTTTATTTTACAGCCCGTTTGATGCATTGGGGAACTGAATAAATGAATAACAGATTCTTAATAGCAAGTATTTTCAATAGGCCGTTATTAATTAGTGCATGTTTTTGCAAGCAATACATTTTTTTTTGTGATGTGCAGTTTTGGTCATCTTTATTATTTCTGCACCCTCGTCTGTTCTTTAACGGGTGCCCTTTTGTACATGTTTGGTCCAACTGGGATTCAATTTGTGCATTATTTTAAAGTCCTGAAATAAAATCTTTCTGTAATAAATTTCTATGAGTTGGCACTAACTTGAGAGCACTTAATCCATTTGAAAATGTAGCTAAACTAAAACTACAGCTAAAACATTCAAAAAACAAAAAGAAGCTTGCAAATTAAATACTTCCCTTAATGCAAAAACTGGGTTATTGAGATTAAAAATCCAGACTAGGATTTTATTCTCTTGCAATGCATCCTGGATTTTTGCCTCGAAACACAATCTGGGTTTTTACCCCAGCAGAAAAAAGAGAGCAAAAACTCCATTTCTTTTCATTTATAAATGGAAATCCTTGCAACCTCAAGAGGCTGCAGGACGGGGCCTTTTTGGTGGTGGCCCCGAACATGGGAATTCCTGCCAAACGGAATTCCGAAACTCCAGAATTCTTTCAGAAGGATTTTAATCAGCCAAGAGGCTTCTTTTGGGCTCCCTTCTCCGAAACCCTGCGTCCTTGGCGGTCCTGCCTATCATGGTCTAACCTTGGCTAGGTGTGGCAGCCTCTGTCCAACCAGGTCTTTCAACTCGTTGGGTGTGAGACACTCTTTGCGCCCCTTGACGGCGTAACAGTGGAAATTGTTGATGACAATTTCGATGGCTCGTTCGACATCGGTGAGTTCTTGACTATCCTGTGATCAGGCAGGAGATGATGGGTGGGAAAAAGAGGACAGGTTGAGATCCATTCCCAGCCACGCACTCCCTGTGTGCACAATCGCTCCCGAAGTTGTTCAACCTGCCCGGCTTCTTCCTACACAACTGCACCCTCCCCGAAACACCCAGCTCATTAACACGTCCAAACTTTTTACGCCAAGGTCTGGGACACGGTTTCGCACTCGGCCTCTCCCCTGAGTCTCAATTGGTTAGCCTAGGAAAGCCACGGAGGATAATTTGCCCCACCATCACCCCGCAAATTTCAACAAAACAGAAAAAAGAACAAAATGAAGAGTGCAGAACAAGAGGGGGGGGAGAAGGAGCAGAACAATAGGGCGGGAATCCAATATTCTTTCGTGCGGATGCAGATATAAAACACGGTGGTTTCCTACTCTAAAATCAACCATGATGCAGAATATTTGTGTTGCAATGAAGAGTTGTTGACCGAGACCCAACGCACACCAAGCAAAACACATCAACCTGAGAAGCTACCTGGGCAGGTAATTCTTTCTGAGGCTTAACTGCCTCCTCTGGAGTTTTTGCAAGGAACGTGAGAAGCATCAAACTGGGAGGGACTCTCCTATCGCAGCCCCCCCAAAATATTCCTAAATATTCTGAAAGTCTTTCAAAGCACTAGGACGGTTGATTGAGTTTTGTGCCTTCTCCCAAACGAGTGGTGTTCCAGCTGAATCCTTCACCCATTTTCCATTTTTTAAATTGTTTTGGCTTAACACCAGCCAGGATGCCTCTCGATGTTGGCTGAACACAAGCCAGGATGCCTCTCAAGAAAGGAACGGTTGTTAGCGGGATGAAAGATGAATTGTTGAGGAAGGTATTTGGCCCAAACTAAGATCCAGGCTGGGTCCTTCGTATCTCCTGATCAAATCCACCAATTCCTCGTAGCATTTGGAAAGGGTCCCGGGTGTGCAAAATGTCATTTTAAAAAAAAAAAAAGAAGAAGCATCCATCCTGAAACATTGAGGAGATCTCAGCCTAGGAGCCAATTTTGCCCATAGCCAAAATTTTTTGCAAGATTAATGGCCATTTTTATTTTCCCAGAATGCCCTGGCTGCAGCATCCACCAGGGAGGATTGTGTGGGGGCGGGAGCGGGAAAGGTGACAAAATGCATACAAAAATTCTGCAAAATGGACTTTCTGGGGAGAAAGAAGAGGAAGAAGCAAGTAACAATCTGTGTTTTGAAGCATCTTCTGCCCAAACTTTGATTTTCGCCTCTCCTCCCCCCGCTAGTTCTTCCAAATAAAAAGGGCTGCCTTACTTATTCTTTCAGGCCGCTCCAAATCATCATAAATATTTGCACATTTTCCCAGCACAGGTGTGGTTCGTTTATCACCATTTAATTGCAAGATCTGCGAAATCAGATGATGTATTCACATGCTGAATTTGAGACTGATACAGATGCGAATTGTTTATTTTTATTTTTTAAAAAAGCATGTTTTCTTTTTGAATGGATCTGAAATCAAACGTTTGCAACACGGGACTGACAAACTTTCCCGGGATTTAAAGCAAATAATATAACAGACTTTAGGACAGAGATTAACCCCCGTCAGGATTGATTGATTGATTGATTGATTATGTCCCATCGTTTCTGATTTCTAGCAATCACGCAGATGTGTTTTCTCCAGGTGCCCCTATCCGACCAGAAAAAGCTACGTTGCTCCAATATATTCGATTATTATAAAATGGTGGTTAACCTTAAAAAAGCTTTGTCTTGAATCCAGTCCACTTGCTAAAGTTTCAAAGAGAGATAAAATGCACGATAGCAAAATGAAAGGAGGAAAGGTTAAGGGAAAGAGGATCCAGAAGGAGGAAAAATGAAAAACAAAACAAGAAAAACAATGAAATAAAATAGATGGACTGCCAACTGTCATCAGTACAGGTATAAATATATAGTAGAATAGCGTCCTACTCTAAATTAAAACAGAAGAGTTTTAATGAGAATCGGATGTTGGGGAAAAACTCCTTGCAGGCAATTTAATGGGAACATCCCTGGCAAAATTTCTGGGACCAAACTCTCTTAATCTTTGGTGATTTTTCTTAATTTTTCCCCTGGAATCGACCTTCCTGCCATGTAAGGCTCTTAGATCCATACTCTAACTAAGGACAATTGTGGAAAAAAAAATAGGGTTTTTTTTCCCCTAAACAATTCTCCACCAGGGTTTGAAAAGGTGCCACCATCTCTATCCACCTTCCTCTTTTGAAAATTAAATTTCTCCGCTCCCTCAAGCTCTTTTTAAAGGATGTGAGTCCCCCATCTGGAATTAGGGATCTAACTTGGGGCAACGACCTCAAACGGCCGTGGAGATCTTCTCTAAATGTCATCCCTCGCGATCGTTCCCCGGTTGCCTCTCAAGACTCCCAAACTATGCCCATCCTCTTCCATCCATTTTTTTTGTTTCTCACCCAAAAACCACAACACACAACCCACTCCACCCGTTTCCACTTCACCTTTCGCTTCTTGCCGCATCGACAACCCATCGCTCTCCTGACAGATCGGATCCTCGGTGTCTCGGCAAAATTCCCCCTTTGGATGATACGATAAACACGGGACGTCGGTCGGTTTTCTGTGAAGCTTCAGAAGTCGCTCCCGGCTTCAAGGGGTCTTCAGAAAGTGGGGTCTCCTATCACAGGGCAATGGAAAAGCAGAAAGGATCTTTGTGAGAAATGCTTCTTTTTGGAATCTGCATTCGAAACTGAACGAGTCGCACACCGTTGGATCGGCTCTGGGCTGCCGCAAGCAAGTTTGGAAAAATAAATTTGCCCGAACTTGTCCAACTGAGAAGATTCAGAGAGAAGAGAAGGAAGGTTGCCAAGAAGATGGGGAAGGGAAGGGAAGACCCTCAAATTCTCCTCTCGGTTTTGGGGAAGGGACCTTAAGACAGAAGGCCCACTTACCTGCTCACTGGAGATTGGATGTGCTGCTGTCGGTTGTCGCCTTGCCACGGTTTTATACCTCGGGAAGGTGTGTCCAAGAGACACCTCATGGAGGGAGCTGAGAGTTGCAGTTGTGGTGCAATCTTCTCCTTGTGCTGACTGGCCCCCGGCCAGAAGACAACGCTCAGACGCCACCCATTTCTCTGTCCTTACTCACAGCTCAAGGATGAGCCTGTTTGGAAGGGAGCTTCCTCCCTTCCCCCATGGTCCAAGATCACCGAACCTTTTGGTTGACTCCTAACCTCTTGAGATGTTGAGGAGAAGGACTCACCTCCTGCTGCTGTGGGGTAACTGCAAGCATATTAGCTCCATGGGAGAAGATTTGGGGACGCCGTGGTTTTGGACTTCCGCCTCATCCTTCTGGGAACCTTCTAGGAGAACCTTGCGACTCCTGGAGAGCTTGAGGTTGGACAAGACCCCACTAGAGATGTCTCTAGCATTGAGGGTGGCAAAGGAGCATGGGCGAATGAGGAAGTGAGACCTGTTCCCAGAGGAAGAAGTCTCTGTCTGACCAGTAGCCCTTTTTGGAAGTTCTCAAGAAGGTCCTCCTTACAGAAGGACATGAGCTGAGAGCAGAATTTGGAGAGCCCAGTGTTGCAAGCTCTCCACTCCTCCTTCCTAAAGACCTAAATAATATTTGTTTATTGGCTCTCTGATGTCCAGGAGTCTTTATCAGAGTTTGACTTGGACTTTGGGACTTTATTGTGAAGCAACTGGACAAAGCCTGAGCTTCTCTGGATAAATAGCGTCTCTCTAATGTCCACCTTCCAGGGTGTCCTGACAACTTCTCTCTGAGCTGTTTGGGGGGGGGTGTCTGCTAAATCTCTCCCAGCTTTAGCTTTGGAATTGGACGGTTCACCCCAAGAGCTGAGCAGGACCCCGGTATGAGGGGAGTGCAGCTTGTGTGGATTCTCACAACCGCAAGCAGTCCACAACAGTCCATTTAGTGACCGTTCGAAATCACAACGTCGCTGAAAAAGGTGACGTGTGACCTTTTTTCACACTTGACAACCCTTTCAGCCTCCCGGGGGTCCCGTAATCAAAATTCAGAGGCCGGTCAACTGACTCGTGTTTATGACAGTTGCCGTGTCCCAGGTTCATGTGATTCCCCCCCCCTTTTGTGACAGTGGGGAAGCCAGATTCATTTAACCAGCATGTGACTAACTTAACAACCGCAGGGATTCACTTAATGACAAGAGAGGTCGTAAAATGGGGCCAAACTCACTTAGCGACTGTCTTTGCTTAGCAACCGAAATGTGGGGCTCAACTGTGGTCATACGTCAAGGACTATCTGTCTTGTATGGAGTCTGGGTTGGCAAATTTGGCAAACCCGCCACTTCCAGGTGCCCAGATCCATGAGGAACTTAAGCATGTAAAAATATTGCCCCTGTTGTGATGTTTTTACATGTGAAGCACAAAGAAAGGGTGGGTCTCTTTTTTTCTAGAGGGGTGGCCCTCTCATGGGGAGGTGAGAGGCAGATTCCTGCAATTGGCAGGGGTTGGACTAGTTGATCTTCAGGGCGCCTTCCAACCCTGTTAAAATCTCAGTTCTATCAGCCATAAAACCTGAATACAGAATAACAGAGTTGGGAGGGACCTCAGTCTTCTAGTCCAACCCCTTGCTCAGAATACAGAATAACAGAGATGGAAGGGACCTTGGAGGTCTTCTAGTCCAACCCCCTGCTCAGGCAGGAGACCCTGTACCATTTCAGAGTCTCTATGATAGACCATAGTCAAGAGACGGACAAGGGAGCCCATCCATGCTCCTTGAAAATCAAACTTCACACTCGGCCCCCTTGTGAGTCCTTTTCCATGCGGCTTTGTGCGACCTGCGAGGTCAGCTCCCAAAGTATTAAACCATGGCTTGTGGTTTAGCATTGTTGCCTAACCCAGACTCTGTGTGTGTCTAACAAGCCATCACTGACTTGACCTATTGGGGATTTGATGCGTGGATTTCTTCTCTCTTGTCTTCTCTCTCTCTGTCACACCCGCCGTTTGGGATCAATTGCCGTGGGAATTTAGCAGCTAAGCCCGTCTCCATGGTCACCAGCGGTGACAGATCACCGCCCTGCAGACTGAAATTCTTTGGCACATACTTCAGCCTGTCAGAATCGCTCCCCATCTCCCGACGCGTGCTGCAGGAACTCCGGTGCTTCATATCCGGTGGAGTTGCCAAGACGGTTCTCATTCCTCATGACTCGTTGAGCTGGTCTCTGGCTTAGCTGCTCTGCCAAGGTTTGGTGGAGGCATCTCGGCAGCTTCCGATAGCTCGGTGGATGGTGTGTTGCCCCACCTACCTGGCCTGGTGGTGGGTGGGGTTGCCGCGTTCCGCAACTAGCATCGAGGAGACACAATCTTGAGGACCGAGGAATAAGTGAAGATGGGGAGATACTTTCCCCTGGGGCATCTGGTTGGTCCTTCCCACCTTCTCCTGCTAACAGTGGTTGGGTTTAATATCTCCTGGGTCAGATCTAAGGGTCTTTGAGGATGAAGACTTTCTACAAATATGGAAGGAGTTCTCTTAGAGGAAGATCTTTAAAGATCTGGCTTCATCTCACCACCATCCCTGGTTCCACCTGCCTGCGGTTGTCTACCTTGCTTGGCTCTTGACCCAGGGACAATCGTTTCAGGACCAGGGAAAGCTCCCAGAGAAGATTAGGACCTTCTTGGCCAAATAGACCTTCAGGATGGACCAAGACCTGGAGGAAGACTTAGGAGGGACCTCGAAAGCCTTGAAACAGGAATGAGGCATTCCCCCCCCCATCAGATCTTGGCTTCACTTTGGCAGGGATCTGCCCCCTCCTCCCCGTTTCTTTTGCGCACGCGCGCACACACACACACACACACACACACACGTAAAGCCACACTTTTCTTCCTGGTTTGACCATGGAATGCTTGACAACCAGCCATCTGGAATGCAAAGGTTTATTTGAACTTTAGAAAGCTACAAGAGGGTTTGTGACTCTCAAGGTCTTCCTGGTGGTGCCGTTTCCTGGCCCCGCCGTTTCTCCCGAAATCCCCACCCTTGACACACAGTCCACACCCACCATCCCATCTACTACTTCTTCTTCCCCACTTTCTCTCTCTTGAGCTCCTTGGCCAGCTCCCCAATCAGCCGCCAGTATTCGCCGAATTTCAGCTCCTTGTCGTTGTTCACGTCCAGAGTTCTCATCTTCTCGTCCAGGTCCCCCACGTTCTTCAAAAAAAAAAAAAAAAAAAGGCATAGAGGGGGGAATATATTTTTTTTAAAAGGAAAAACTTTCCCTTGTCGAGAAAGAGCAACACTGCGGATACTAGATCCAGAGAGACAAAAACGACAATGGAAGGAATAGGGGGGGGGGGAAAGGGGGGGGAAGAACATTTAAATAGAATATTTTATGTTGTCCTCGACTTACGAACACAACTGAGCCCAACTCTTCTGTTGCTAAGTGAGACATTTATAATAATAAAGCTGGAAGGGGCCTCGGAGGTCATCTAGCCCAACCCCCTGCTCAGGCAGGAAACCCTAGACCATTTCAGACAAATGGCTGTCCAGTCTCTTCTTAAAAACGTCCAGTGTTGGAGCATTCACAGCTTCTGGAGGCAGGTTGTTAATAATAATAATAAAAATAAAGTCGAAAGGGACCTTGGAGGTCATCTAGTCCAACCCCCTGCTTAGGCAGGAAACCCTATATACCATTTCAGACAAATAGCTTCCCCATTGACGCTGCTTGTCAGAAGGTGGCCGAAGGGGATCGCGTGACACCCCCCCAGGGGACCCTGCGACCGTCATAAATACGACCCCCTTTGGCGACCTTCAGACAAGCCAAGTCAATGGGGAGAAAAAAGATTCATTTAGCGACCGGGTGGCTAATTTAACAACGGCGATGATTCGGTCAACCAGCAAGCAGGCGGGCCTGGCGTTTCCACCTGGGGGCGGCTCTCCTGAACCTGGGGGTTTTGGCACCCGGAACATCTGGGGTTTCGCCTCCCACATCTGTTGGGAGGGGGAAGTCGGTGCTTCTCTCCCCCCCACACCCACCCACCCCGTTTCCCGCCCCCTCCCCTGTCCGTGCCCACCTTCATGAGGTTGGGGAGCTGCAGGGCCACCAGCTCCTTAAACTCCCCGGGGGTGAGGGTGGCCTTGTTCCCCTCCTGAGCCGCATAGTCGAAGAAGACCTGGATTATTTTGTGCAGGGCCGTCTCCAGCTCCGTCAGCTCGCTGCTGGCCATGGCGAGGGAGGGAGGGAGGGTGCTCCGTCTGCTGTCCGGGGGAGGCAGGCTGCCAGGGGGGGGGGAGAGAGAGAGAGAGTGGCGTGGGGGGGGGTGATGCAGAAGAAAGCCCTGGGGGCCTATTTGGTGGAGACAGCTTTGGAAAGCAAGCGGTCCCAGGGGATGCAGGAATTCCTCGGCTTAGGACCGCAGTTGGAACTGACAGGTCTGTCCCTAAGCGAGGGTTTATTTATTTATTTATTTAATCTGAAATCCGCCTTACATTTATTTCCTTCCTTCCTACCTACCTTTCTCTTTCTTTCATTCATTCATTTTTATTCTAATCTGTCTATCTACTAATCTTATCCATCCGTCCATCCGTCCATCAGTCTTCTAATGTATCTAATTTATTTTCTAACCTATCTGAGTCCCGTTGGGAGAAGGGCGGCATATAAATTAAATTTATTATTATTATTATTATTATTACAAATCCAATTTTTATGTATCTACTAATCTATCTTTATTCAGTCTGTCCATTTACTAATCTTTTTTGTCTTTTCCTTCCTTCCTTCCTTCCTTCCTTCCTTCCTTCTTTCTTTCTTTCTTTCTTTCTCTTTCTCTCTCTCTTTCTTTCTTCCCCTCTTTCTTTCTTCTTTCTTTCTTTCTTTCTTTCTTTCTTTCTCTCTTTTTTATTCTCTCTTTCTCTTTCTCTCTTCCCATCATACCTATTTACCATGCCCATCTGTTTGCTGGCTCTGTCTGTCTGCCTTTCAAACCCCAGGAAAGAGTAACTGATCCTCAGTGTTCATTCACAGGCTGGACAGGGCCACGCTCACTCTAAGAGCCACTGCTCTCAAAGCAACGGAAAACTTTGCCAAAAACAAAAAACAAAACAAGGAGAGGAAAAACTATCCCAGCCTAACTCCCCCCCCCCCCACTGCTTCCCGCAGCCCCACGGCCACTTACCCCAACCGTGGTCCCTTGCAAAGGAGTCGTCCAGGTGGGGAGGTGTGGGGTGCCTTTTATAGGGCCAGGATCGGGAGGTGGGGAAGGGAAGGGCTGGTCAAGTGGAGTATTCGGTTTCTCTTTCCACTCTCAGTTGCTCACCGCCTGCTCTCTCCTCCCCACTTGGCAAAACTCCTCCGAGCCTTTTCACCCATAAACAGAGTTTTCTTTGGAAACTCTTGATTCCAAACCAGAGTGGCCGGGGCTTAAAAAAAAATCCTCCCCACCCCCACCCCCCCAAAAACCCCACCCTGCAGAACAAAATTGGACTTTGTGCAGCCGGGCAAACAGGCGCATAAGGGGGCATTTGTGTGAGATGTTTGCAACCCTGGGACGGAGCGTCCCGTAGACAGGAAAGTGTGTTTCGGTTTTTTCCAAGCAGATCGGAATTCTCTCTGGTTTGGCCCAGGGAACCAGGAAGGGAGAGACGAGTCTTGTTTTTAGCAAGAGATGGAGAAACAGGATGTCCCAGCTGGTGGGGTTGGGGGCCAGGCAAATTATTCTCAAATTATTGGGGGCCTGATTGAAAGTTTCCCAACTTTTCCTTGAGCAAAATCAAGGGCGTTTCCTGACGTTCCAAAGCTGGACCTGATTTAGCCAGGCTTAAATGTGGCTTAGGAAGGGAAGGGAAGGGAAGGGAAAAGGAGAAAGGAGAAGGAGGGAGGGAGGAAACAAAAAAGAAAGAAAGAAAGAAAGAAAGAAAGAAGGAAAGAAGGAAAGAAGGAAAGAAAGAAAGGGAGCAAAATAGGAAAGGGAAGGGAAGTGGGGAAAGGGGAAAGAGAGTAAATGGATGAAAAAAGGAAAGGAAGGGAAGGGGAAAGAAAGAAAGAAAATAAGGAAGGAAGGAAGGAAGGAAGGAAGGAAGAAAGAAAGAAAGAAAGAAAGAAAGAAAGAAAGAAAGAAAGAAAGAAAGAAAGAAAGAAAGAAAGAAAGAAAGAAAGAAAGAAAGAAATCCTGCGTGAATTGATCTCCCAGAAAAGGGGGATCTGCTTCTGCAATCTTGCCCACCACATTTCAAAAACAGCTGCCCAATTTCCCCTTTAAGACTTGCGGTTTGAAGCAATGAGTCAGAGAGGCTGCTTTGTAAAAACAAAAAACAAAAAATAGCATACATTTCTCTCTCTCTTTTTTTTACTTGGCGGCTGAGAGATGAAACATCCCTCCGTTGAGTTGGACGGTTGAGTCATTCCCCCCCCCCCAGAAAAGCTGCCTGCTGTCTATCTCAGGTTAGTGGCAGATCCGAGGAGCCTCCAGCCTCAGTTGCAGTCTACCTCTGAATCCGTAATCTGGAATAATTCGGGGCTGTTTGCACCGCAAGGGAGATTTTTGTGAGTTCCCAGTTTATTCCGATGGGGGAAATAAGAGTCTGGTTGGGTTACAGCTAGTTTGGGGCATTCTGGGAGTTGAAGTCCACCCGTCTCAAAGCCTGCTGGCTGGGGCATTCTGGGAGTTGAAGTCCACCCATTTGCAAACTTTGCCAAGGTCGAGAAAGACTGCGGATCAGTTTATTCAAGAGATGCCTCCAAGAGAGGAGAGAAGGGCAGGCCTTCTGCACATGCTCAGGGACACTCTTCTCCTCCAGCTTCCTGATGGGTAGCAACGCACTAGGGCTTGCAAGAACAGCAATGGCATGGTTCTGCTAACTGTCGTATCCCTGCCCGGCTGGGCCCGGACCCCTTTTTTCAGATGACCTGAAATTGTGGGTGCACATGAAGTGGCCCCACTAGCCACACCTGTTCCGTCTCTGTCCCCCCCCCACGCAAATATTTCTGCCTATATCAAGTGCTGATTAATTTTTCCCTCTTCTCCTCCATCCCCCTTTTATTCCCTTCTCTTCCCCCCCTTTTATGGCTGGGGATATAGTGGGGTGCCCCCTCCCCAAATGCCCTTTTAAGCCCCCCTGCTGCAATTACAGTGAGGAGGGGGGTCTCCTCTTTGCCCCTCCACCCACCCCCCCGACCCCAGGCCCGAAATAGCACCAAGGCAACATCAGCCAACACTCCGGGAAGGATGTGATGCCACCCACTCAGGAATGCCTTGACGTCACCCGCCCCACCTCTCCGTGCCCCCCGGCAGGAGGGCGCCCACACCATGGGGAAGCCAACCGGCTGCATTGCTGGCATCCCACGCCGTGCACAGCCCGGGGTTGGCAGAGTGCGGTTTTTGGGGTGGGCGAAGTCACCCCACTGGGTGGGTTTCAAGAGGAGGGGTGTCAGCCTGGGAGGGGGGGGCTGTGGAAGATTGCCAGCTGAAGATGGGAGGGCGGGGTTTAATGGCTGGAGGGATGGGGCACCCCTCGTTTGAGGGCGGAGCCTCGCCCCGGGGAGAAATTAGGGTGCTGGGGCCAGGTGTGTACCTTCAAGGGGAGCAGCCTGGATGGAAGAGGAGGTGTCTGCCTTGGCCAGATCATGTTTTGGGAGTTAAAGCATGAGGGATGGAGGGAAGGGAAGGGAAGGGAGGAAGGAAGAAAGGAAGGAAGAAAGGAAGGAGATAATAGATAATAGAAACTAGAAAGGTAGGAAATAAATACAAAATAGGATGGATGGATGGATGGATGGATGGATGGATGGATGGATGGATGGATAGATAGATAGATAGATAGATAGATAGATAGATAGATAGATAGATAGATAATAATAGATTAGATAGACAGACAGACAGACAGATGGATGTAATTGATTGATAGTAATATAAACTAGAAAATATACTAGATAGACAGACAGAGACAGACAGACAGATGTATCTCACCAGATCCTACAAGCTCCAGTCACCCCCAAACCCTCCTCCTCCTCCCCAACTCTCTCCACCCCCCTCTGACCAAAGCCCCTATCCCCCCCCCCCCAAAAAATCCTGCGTTCTGCCCCCGGTGAGCCCGACCTCCCCATTTGCTCAGCCTTAGAGACCCAAAAGGGAGCCAGGCCAGCTTCTGCCCCACCCAGTTCAGACTGGCGGGACCAACTGGTTTATCCTGGGCTGCAGCCAGCTGCTGCGGGGGGGGGGGAGAGGGAGCCTCTCTGAGCTTCCAGATGTTGGGGCTTGCAGTCCTCTCCCAGAGGCACCCGGTGCTTGCCCAGGCACGCCCGCTCACCCTTGACACACCTGGCCTGCCCGCCGATGATTTTCCCAGGCTGCCTGCCCGCCAGACACAGGCTGCGTGCCAGGGCAGGTCTGCAGGAGAAAACGCACCCTGGATGACTGATGAGGCAGTGCGGTGTAGTGGTTAGAGTCAAGTCTATCTAGGAACGCCAGTTGATGGCTGGAGAGCCTCAGCGGGGCGTGTCAGAATAACAGTCGGAAGGGACCTTGGAGGTCTTCTAGTCCAACCCCCTGCTCAAGCAGGAGACCCTACGCCATTTCAGTCAGGTGTCTGTCCAATCTCTTCTTAAAAACTTCCAGGGATGAGGAATGAATGAATGAATGAATGAATGAATGAATGCATGAATGAAGGAAGGAAGGAAGGAAGGAAAGAAGGAAAGGAAAGAAGGAATAGATAAGGGAAAGAAGGGAAGGAAGGAATTGATAGGGGAAAGAAGGGAGGGAGGGAGGGAAGAAGGAAAGGAAAAAAAGGAATAGATAGGGGAAGGAAGGAAGGATAGTAGAATAACAGAATGAAAGCATTGGAAGGGACCTTGGAGGTCATCTAGTCCAACCCTCTGGTCAAGCAGGAAACCCTACACCATTTCAGGCAAGTGGCTGTCCAGTCTCTTCTTAAAAACCTCCAGTGTTGGAGCACCCACAACCTCTGGAAGCAAGTTAGCCTCTTTGGGGGCTCCTCAGAGGGCATCTGGCTGACCCAGCTCAGCTCTCCCTAGATGTTTCCGCTGCAGCCGTCATCAGCTGCCCAGCGTCCGAATTTTGATCGTGTGACCACAACGGTGTGAAAAACGCCCACCGGTTTTTCTCGTGCCGTTGTAACCTGGGACAAGTCACTAAACGAATGCTGTAAATCGGGGACCCCTTGTGTTTGCCCCCCTCCCTGCAATGCAAAGGAGCAGCCCCCTCCCTCGCTTTTATATTTTAGGAAACAGGTTGACCAGCTCCCTGCAGGGACCGCAGTACAATTGCGCTTTTGTGTTGTGCCACCCGGCCGGCCACAAGAGGCAAACAAGCCATCATCTGTCTCCACGGGGCCCGGCTTGCCAGACCCTCCCGATTGGTCGTCCCCGGTGGGGAGGGTCCGGGGAAGGTGGTCCGTGGCTTGGAATTTAGGGCAAAACTCACACCCTGCTGTTCCTTCCATCCCTCCAGCCAGCCAGCCCGCCTGCCAGCCCACCACCCTCCCGTTCAGTAAGTCCTTTCCGTTTAAAGGGCAGCGAGGGTGGGGGGTCGCCTAGTGGTTAGAGTCTGCCACCCTGGGCATGTTTCTATCTGCCTCCCCTCTCCCCCCACCTCAAAAACACCCCCCAGATTTTCCAGCTGGGGGTTGCATTTATTATTATATTAGTCAATGCAAACTTTACCAAAGATAATTTGGGGGGGGCTGGCAGTGGTGCAGAATCTTTGTCTCCCCTCCCCTCTCCAACAGCACCCAAAAATGACATTTTTAAGCTGAATTAAAACTTGGATTTTAAGTTTAATTTTTTCCCCCTTTCCAAGATGGGTGGAATGGGCAAGGACGGGGGTGGGGGGAGAGAAGAAGGTCCACCGATTCGGGAAGGGTACGTTAACCATTGGACCTGCTTGTTGAACTACTAGCTGGTTTGAGGAGCCAAGGTTAGCGTAAGATCCCTTGAGTAAGCAACTCCCCCGAAGTTAACTAAGTTAGCATCCCCCGCTCAGCCGTGGAAAGCGAAGCTTAACTGAGGTTTGAACTAACCGGGGTTAGCTTGCAGGGCAGACCCAGAATCTTGGTTTTTTTCATCGAAAGAGCAAAATGAATTCCTGTCCTAGGCATGCAAACCTAACTTTGTGGGGGGTTTTTTTAAATCACATTTTCTTCCTGTTCAGCCAGGTTACACGATTTTAAATGGTGCTTTGCTTTCTGATTAAGAGTAATGAGGTGTTTTTTTAAAAGGAGACATTAACTGGTTTTAATGAGACTTTATTAATGAGACTTTATTTATATAAATGTGAGTCCCCCAAAAATGTAAAATAATTCAGCGAATGATTGAAAAAAGAAAAGTGGCTTCTGAAAAAGTGAGGGGGATACGTGTATGGTATGTGTTGAATTTGTTGAATCGCTTGTGTTTTTTTATTTAAATGATGGTTACAAAAGCCCGTTTCTCCATTCCCAAGCACGACTGGAATGCATGATTTATTTATCATATATCAGCTGATACAGACAGGAGTTTGAAGCTCTCCATCAGCCTACGTGTCATCCCCATAAGCAATTAATACTAATAACAATAATAACAAAGCCCTGTGTCTCCATCGAGCTTACACAAACGTGAAAAATATTACAGGACAGCAGAAGAACTTGGCCAACACCCCAAAAAGAGTACGTTACAAAATGCTTCTTCTCCGTGGTTGGTTGATACCAAGTGGAAATCGAAAAAAGAACCGGAGTCTTAGCACTAAAGCACTAAAAATTATTATTTAAAAAGAGAGAATCAGAGTCTGCAGATTGCAGGTTTCATATGTCATTTTAGACCCCGACTTTTAAATTGGTGATTATTTGGGCTCCGTGAGCCTTAAGCATAAACTGCTGAAACCCAGGTTGCCCATCCAAAAAGAAAAAAAAAAAGAAAAATTGGAAATTTGGGAGGGGGGCTGGAAATTTTGGTTAGGAACAACAACAACAACAAAAAAAATTAAACCAGTATCAGTAAACTCTGGCGAGATGCTTGTTTTATTTTAAGGGAAGGCGGGAGGATAAGAAGAATACATCCTGTTTTAAAATGACCCAAACTCAGCACAAGAAATGTGAATATCCCAGGCAGAAAACAACTGCTGGATTTAAAAAAAAATAAAATCAGATATGAAATTGACAAGGAAACTGGCCATCAACTGGCCATTAATTTGGCCAGTTTGGCTGGGCTTGGATTTGAAAGGCTGAAAAGTGCTCGGCTCCTTTTATTTGCAAAGTTTGGAAAAGTTTTGAAACAGCTTTGAAAAAACCTTTGCAATTTCGCTGGCTCTGCCCTCCAGCGAGAGTCTTTTCTGATTTGGGGAGGAGGGTTTCAAACCCCCCCAATTCTTGGTCCCGGTCCTTGCCCTGAATTGGGTCCTTTCGGTCCAGTTTCCTCCCTGTTCAAAAGGCCGGCAAACTTGTTGGTGCCACCCGGCCCTGAATGGATCCTTTGTTTGGGCAGAGAGGAAAATGTTGTAAACAGCTTTTGATTGCGCCTCTGTCTCTCTCTCTCTCTCTCTCTGTGTGTGTGTTTGTTTGTTGGTGTCTGCCTTGCCCTCCCTTTCTCCGGTTTGATTCCCGGCATGCCCGACTGAATTGAAGAAAAAAGAAAGAATAAGCCACTTGCGTCCAAGATATTGGAAAACGGGTCTTCCGGAATGAATACGGAATAACAGAGTTGGAAGGGAGCCAAGAGGTCTTCTAGTCCAACCCCCGGCTCAATTTCATTTCAGACAAATGGCTGTCCAATCTCTTCTTGGAAAACCTCCAGTGATGGAGCACCCACGACTTCTGGAGGCAGGCTGTTCCGCTGGTTAATTCTTCTCATTGTTAGGAATTTTGTCCTTAATTCCAGGTTGCTTCTCTCCTTGGTCAGTTTCCATCCGTTGCTTCTTGTCCTGCCTTCTGGTGCTTTGGAGAATAGCTTGACCCCCAACTCTTCTTTGGGGCAGCCCCTCAAATATGGGAAGGCTGCTATCATGTCCCCCCTAGTCCTTCTTTTCATTAAACCGGACATACCCAATTCCTGCAACCGTTCTTCCTATATTTTTGTCTCCAGGCCTTTCATCCTCTTAATTGCTCTTATTTGCACTTTTTCCCCAAAGTCTCAACATCTGTTTTCTAAAGTGGGGACCAAAACTGTCCCCCTCCCCTCAAGCATTTTGGCAAAATTCCCAGGTGAATGCCCCAAAAGATATATTTTGCAGGCAGGGATTTGGGGTTGATTTTTGTCGGGCCAAATCAATCAAGCCTTTGTGGGTAAGGCTGGGTGGCTACGGGAACATTCCAGATGGAGGTTTGCGGCCGTCCTGGGAAAAAAGAAACGGTCGGAGCTGTTCCACAAGAACCAAGTTGCTCAACTCTTTTGGGGACAGGAAATGAAAGAAAGAAAGAAAAGAACTGAAAGGCCAGCAGAATTCAGACGGCTGGAATGAGGGCCCGGCCCCAGCGAATAGCTGAGATTTATCGCTTGCAAAATCAGATTTCCAGGTTGAGAGGTTGGCAGAGGCGGGCGCCCCCTGGTGGCGGATGGCTGGTGTTGCATGGAGGGTATTGTCCAGGTCAGTTCTCCACTTACGACCCAAAAATCTCCGTTGCTAAGTGAGACATTTGAGCAGTCACTAAACGAACTATTGTAAGTCAAGGACTACCTGTATGATCTTTTTTTGGCGCAAGATTACCCTTGCCAACAATAAAAAGGGGATATTTGCGGAAGATTCTCTGTCTTTAATGTTCTTCGGCCAGTTCATAACTTGGAAAAAAGTGGTCGTAAGTCGAAGGTGACCTGTTCTTCTGCCTGAGATGTTCTCGCGGTCATTGGCTCCACCTCCTGAGCTGCCCGTCCGCTCAAGTCTCCTCCCCTGGGTTGGCTTTCCCTTTTGGCTCCGCCTCCTAGCCTGAGGGTCCTTTCGGTCTCCAAGCAAACCGATCCGCAGCTCTACTTTATCCATCCGGGACTCATTTTCGAGATCCCACCTGGAGTGGACGGAGTGGACCTTGAACTGGCCTGAGCTGATTTTTGTCCCTGTTTAGCCCAGGACAAAGTCAACAGCCTGATTCATAATTCATTCGGTCTCCTGCATGATTTATGCTGAAATATTCAGACCTTCCTGTCCCGTCATGCGAACTCGGATCCTTTGCTCGTCCAGGGATCCAGTTTCGCGGTGCTTCCGTTCTCGTTCAGGGTGGACGGTTTTCGTTCCACAAAGACCCTTTTCATCCCGGTCATCCGAGCGGCCTCTGGGGACGGTTCCCCATTGTCCGCTTGGAGCTGGCGAGAGACACTTGATCCCTCGTCTCGTATCTTGTATCGGTTACCCCTTCGCCCAGGGAGGCAGCCGTGACGTCCCAAAACCTCCCTGGACACACAGGCAGTCCTTGTCGTACGACCGCGATGGAGCCCCCAATTTCTTTTCTTGAGCGAGACATTTGTTAAATGAGTTCTGCCTCGTTCTATGACCTTTCTTGCCACTGTTGTTAAGGGAATCACTGCAGTTGATAAGTCAGACGGTCGTAAAGCGAATCTTCTTCCCCATTGATTTTGCTTGTCAGATGGTCGCAAAAGGGGGATCCTGTGACCCCGGGACTCTGCGACCGTCGTAAATAGGAGCCAGTTGCCAAGCATCAGAATTTTGACCACGGGGATGCTGGAACGGTCGTAAGTGTGAAAAATGGTCCTAAGTCACTTTTTTCAGTGTCATTGTAACATCAAACAGTCACTAAATGGACCGTTCTAAATCGAGGGCTGCCTGTGTCCGATTCATGGTTGCGGAGCTGACTGAGGATGCCAAGAACGGCAGCTTGGAAAATACGGATCTCCCCAACTTCGCAGCGAAGGGAGTTACAGGGAAGTGAATGAGTGCTATCTTTCTCTCTCTCTCTTTCTTTTTTTTCTCTCTCTCTCTCTGTCTCTCTCTCTGCCCCTCCCTCTCTTTCCCTCCAAGATGGTCTTTAGGCAGACAAAATCAGGATATTTGCAATACAGGTAAGCATCCTTCAGCACCCTCTCTCTCTCCCCCCCCCCACCCGCAGGTGCCAGGATGTCGTCGCAGTTGGAGACGGCCGTGGATAGTCTCATCTCCGTCTTCCACAGCTACTCCGGCAAGGAAGGGGATAAGTACAAGCTGAACAAAAAGGAACTGAAGGATTTGCTGCAGAATGAGCTGGGCGGTCTCTTGGAGGTAGGAGAAAAGTGTTTTTTTTTCCCCTGCCTTTTTTCTTCAATCGATCAGAAAAGAGAGAGAAGGGACCTCGGAGGTCTTCTAGTCCAACCCCCTGCTCAAGCAGGAGTCCCTCTATCATTTCAGACAAATGGCTGTCCACTCCTTTCTTGAAAACCTTCAATCATGGAGGGAGGGAGGGAGGGAGGAAAAAATAGCAGAATAATGGTTGAAAGGGACCCTGGAGGTCATCTAGTCCAACCCCCTGCTCAGGCAGGAGACCCTATACCATTTCAGCCAAATGGCTGTCCAGTCTCTTCTTGAAAACCTCCAGTGATGGAGCACCCACAACTTCTGGAGGCCAGCCCTTCCATCCATGGCTAGAACTCACAGCCACCTGGCTTCTAGGCCAGCATCTTAATTGGACACCAAAATAGCTCCCATTTACTTTCTTTTTGGACTGGCTTTGATTTAGATAGCAGGGCATTTGCTATTGCTATTGACCATTCTCCAGCCGGATGGGGCCGCTCAGAAAAAAAAACAACACCAAGGTCAGTAAAGCCGCCCAGCTTTTCCACAAGGGGAGCCTTCAGGAGGTCTGTGTAAAGCTGGGCGTGCTTGTTGTCTAGCCTACGATGTGCTGTGCAAAGGCAGTCACCGGCTTCCTGCAGTAGGGACTTAACCAAAGCTCTCGCTGCAAGCCAGGGAATTCTGGGAAATAAAGGCGGGGTCTGCAACGAGCCCATTTCCCAGATTATCAAAAGGAAAAAAAAATTACAAGTCAGAATGTCAGGGAGCCGGCGTGAGGGCTGGGGGAGGGCCGGATCCTCTGACTCCGGGATTTAAGTGGATCCCGCATCCTTCTTTTCCAGACCCAGAGAGACCCGGAGGTGGTGGACAAGATCATGCAGGACCTGGATGAGAACGGCGATGGCGAGGTGGACTTCCAGGAGTTTGTGATCCTGGTGGCTGCCTTAACCGTGGCCTGCAACCCTTTCTTTTCGGAGGGCACCTAAGCTGCGGTCGTGGGAACGCAAAGCTTGGGAGTCGGGGGGAGGGTCCAGCCCCCCCAGCGGCTGTTTGCTGCCCCTTTGCAAGGCCTTTTCCCTTCTTGCGGCTTCTCTGCCCAGCTGGGGCGCCAGGGGAGCACCCCCCAAAGTGCCGTGTAGCCACCTGCTGAGACAGCGCTGCTTATTAAAGCCGTTGAGTGAACTCTGCACATGTTCTGGTCTGTTGTAGGGCAGGGAGAGCAGGGTGGGGGCCTTGGGGAAGAGGGGGGGAGGCAAGCCGGGGCTCTTAAGACAAAGTGGGGAGCCTTGGAGAAGCAAGGAGCTAGACCCAGGCGCCCCTGGAGGGGGTGGTGGAGGGGTCTGGAGGGGGGGTGTCTTGCGGGCACACTCACAAAATGGCCCTGGGGGGGTTGGCCAGCTAAAAATGCAAAAACTGCACTGTTTTCCACACTGAGACAACTAGCCAGGCTCCAAACAGGCTCTTTGGGAATCAATTCAGACGTTTAAAAGAAAAACAAAGCAAAAAAAAAAAAACCCTCTTAAAAAGTTAAGTTTCGGGGGGGGGGGAAACAATTCTCCCATTCATAAAAAGTGGCGCCCCGCCCACAGCCTCCAAGAACCGCCCCCTCGCAGCCCGTGATGAATGGAGCAGGCTGCGGAAGAAGTGTAGCTCCGCCCCTTCGCGGCTAAACGAAGAGCTATTCGTCGCTCGGCGCCGTTCTTTCCACGCGCTATGTATATATATATAAAAAATGCTCTTTGCGCCTGCGCGCCTCGTGGGCAGGGCGGAGCCGCCTCGTCCCTCCGCCGGCGCATGCGCGAGCCCTGAAGAAAGAAAAGCCTGGGCGGCGCCATTTTGCCGGGCTCTTTCTGAGGAGAGGTTTGCGAGCCGGAGAGGCGGAGAAGCCGGAGCGGAGAGCGCGTTGTGCTGCTCCGCAAACACGGATAGTGAAGGAAGAACCACCACCGCCACCATCTTGGCGTTCAGGGCAACCGACGGGGCCGGCCGGGCGAGGCCGGAACGGAGCCTCCCGTCGCAGCCGCCGGCAGAGTCGCCAAACAAGCAGGGCGAGCCTCGCCCCCGACGGTGAGGGCCGCGCTGGGTGGGTGGGGGAAATTAAAGGGGCCTCGGGGGGCCGTTGTCCCACGTAACCGGCTCGAAACGCGGCCTACCGGAAGCGGGTGGGTGGGACTTCCGGTAGAGCGGGACGGCTCCCTTGACCCCCTCCCTCTCCCCATCTGGCTCTTAAAGGCTATTGTGGGGATTGCAGCCCTTCCTCTCTCGGGGGAAGATGGGAATTGTAGTCCAGCTTTGCTTGGAGGTGGACTATGGGAGGACCCCAGCCTGGGACGGGCTTGCTTATGTTGGATTCTGCATCGAGGGTTCCTGAAATTTGCCCTACAACAACCCTGCAGGGTAGGCTGGAGGGGAGAGGGGAGGCCCAAAGTGGCCTGAGGCGCTCCTGTGGCTGCTGGCTTCAGAGATGGGGATTTTAGTGGGCAGCTGGTCATTTTCTTGGTGGTCCCTAGGAGTCAATAATCAAGAATATAAAATAAAAAAATAAAATGGAGCCAGTTTGGGGTGGTAATTAAGACACGAGGCTAGAAAGTAGGAGACCGTGAGTTCAAATACCCAATCACCGGGAGACGGTGAGTTCTAGTTCCGCCTTAGGCAGGAAAGCATCTAGGTAACTTTGGGCCTGTCCCTCTCTCAGCTGGACCTACCTCCCAAGGTGGTGGTTGTCAGGAAAATAGGAGGAAGAAAGTGTCTTGGATATGTCTGCCACCTGGAGTGATTTGAAAAAATAAAATAATAAAGGCAGGATATAAATAATTGGGATCTTTTAGTAACCTCCTCTTTTTTCCTGCAGGTTCTGGGCACCCGAGATGGCCGCGCAGTCAGTGCCGAAAGTCGTGCTTAAGAGCACCAGCAAGATGTCTCTTAACGAGCGGTGAGGAACACAACGGCCACCTTCAGCTCATAAGATCTTTTTTCTTTTTTTACGTTCTTTTTTTTTTTAGTTTTGTCACTCTGTTTGGCATCCAGAGCAAGAGCGGCCTTTGCGATGCTTGTTCTCTATCCAGAGGCAGCCGAGAGTGGCGGGCAGCTCCCCGCTGCCCTTCGATCCCGCGGCCTGCCGTGGTACACCAGGTTGAAAGGGCAAACGTGTCGGTCTAACTGGCAAACGGTCGTGTGGTGGGATGTGTCCTGAGGAAACTCCGTGCCCTCCTTTTTTTCTTCCACATGTGTTCATATGATAAGAGATGAGCCTGCAGCGCGGTAGCATGTCACCGCAGCTGCGGGAGGCTTCCTGCCGTGCCCGAGGCAGACGCGCCACCCCGCGTGGTCTGTGCTGTAAGAGGCAGGCAGCTGGCCGCTTGAACCAGCCCTAAGGCTCCTTGGAGGCCTTGTAAGAGGCAAGTGCTTGGCTCCATCACCTGCTTCCTCTCCTCTGCATGCCTTCCTCCTCCGTGTCTCTGTGAGTTCAGATGTCCGACTGTCGGCCTGAAGCTTCTGCTGTGTTCCCCTTCTGTCTTAAACTATATTCCTAGGTTCATCGCCCCAAATCTCCAGCAGGAGAGAATTGTGACCCAGCAGTTGTGAGAACTTACCTGTAGGAACACCGGGATGTTTTCACAGCATCCTTTCTTCCCCTGGAAAAGATCATTACAGCCAGTCCTCGGCTTGCAACAGTTTGTTCAGTGGCCGTTTGACACTGACAAAAAGTGATTTATGACCCCTTTTCACACTTAACAACTCTTGCAGCATCCCCCAAGGTCAGGTGATCAAAATTCAGACACTTGGCAACCGATGGTCACTGTGTCCCAGGATCACGGGATCCTTTTTGCCTTTTGCAAAGGCAGTGGGGAAGCCAGGTTCACTTAACAGCCATCTTCCTCACTTAACGACTGCAGTGTTTCACGTAACAACGGGCGAGAAAGGGGCAAAACTCATGTAACTGTCTCACTTAGCAACGGAAATGGGCCTGGTTGTGGTAAGACAAGGACTGCCTGTAGTCTTTTTTTTTCTGGATGTAACCGGCGACTTGATTTCCCCAAAAGCCCATCAGATCCAGTTGGCAAAGCTCAGGGATCTGTCTCATTTCGGCCGAGACCTTGTTAGCCTCTGCTCCTCTTTCTACCAGTATCCTGAAGCAAACGGGGGATAATAAATATTCAGTAAGTCTTGTGGGCCCTCCTGATTTATGTTACCTTTTGAAATCCCAGAGGTGATGTTGAAGGTACACCACAAAATGCTTCTTGTACGATGATAATCCGATGCACATTTTATGATGTTTTTTTTAACTCTGCTGCATAGACCAGCTTGAGCAGGAAAAGGAAAGGGAGCTGAGTTGATGGTTTTATGCCAGTTTTAGGCCCCGAGGAAGGATGGTGGCGTTGAGGGGGCTGCAGGGTTCTCCATTCTTCGATTTTGATCTCTCTCTCTCTGTCCCAAGTCTAGAGAGTTGCAGCTTTGGGAGTAACGTAGCCCTTCCACTCTCCAAATCTTTTCCTTCCTTGTCTGCTTGGGACCCCCCCGCCTCCCTCCCCATCTCTTCTCTGCCATTTCTGCTTCGCTCTGTCCGTTTCCCACCTTCGCCTGATTTTATTCGGACGCCCGTCTCTGGGTTTCATCCAAACCCCTTTGAATGTTGTGTGTCTTTTCCCCCCTCTTCCCCCGGCACGCTTTGTGGAAAAATGAGGAAAAACCAAAAAAGAGTTCCCATTACGCTTTAAACGGGATCTTGAGTGTGTAACCACCTTATTACGTTTATAAAAAAAAAAAATATCGTGGGATGCAGCTGCCCCCCCTTGCTCTGAGAGGGCTGTGGAATGCCGGTTAAAAAAAATGGGTTTATAATTGAAAGGTTTGTTTTAAACACACCCGTTTTGTTCGACCTTGAAGCTTTACTAATATGCTGAAGAACAAACAGCCGATCCCGGTGAATATTCGAGCTACTATGCAGCAGCAGCAATTAGCCAGTGCCCGAAACCGGAGGCTGGCCCAGCAGATGGAAAACAGGCCTTCCGTCCAGGCTGCCTTGAAACTCAAGCAGGTGAGGAGGCCGGCAGAGGAGGAGAACCAGGCGGGGACTCTTCAGCGGCTGGAGGGGGGGGGAAGAAGGACCAGGGAGGGGGGGGCTAAGTTGACCGGCCCAGATTGGATCCTGCAGGGCTAAGTTCGGTCTCTCTCCTTTCAAACATAATTGGGTGAATTAACCAAAAAAAAAAAAGGGCAGTTTTTCTTCTGTGGAATTGTCGGGTTGCGAGAAAGCCGGAGAGCGATTAGTTTATGAATGAAAGCAGCCGCTGTTCTAAGCTGTGCTTTTAGTTGCTGGAGATTTTGGGAAGGAAAATGCAACGAAAAGAGTCCAGCGAGAGAGGTGGAATCCCATCCCGTCCCCAGACAAGCTGGATTTTGTTTTCTTTGCATTTCAGACAGTTGGTTAAAGTGGCATCTCCCTTGCTTGGTGATAATTTGGGTTTTTTTTTTTTTTCCAAAGGGGGGGGAATAGTGTTTTTATCACTCGGGGCTCGTTCTGTAATGTGGCAGGGACAAATTGCATTATGTTCGTGCTTTTCCTCCCTGCCAGCAAAGAGGCATCGGGAAGGTTAATGTTTTTTTTGGGGGGAGGGTTCTTTTTTTTCTATGAAGCTGAGTCAAGCCACTCCTGATTCTTCTAGCTGAGGTCTTCTTTCCTTCTCTTCTGTCCTTTTGGGGATGGGATGCTTTGTCCCAAAGGTGCTTTTTTCTTCTTTCTTCTTCTCCTTCTCCTCCTCCTTCTTAAGACATTATTTTTCCCTTTGAAAGCCTTTTGTTTCTCATCCAACAAGCAGCTTCATTTCTAACTGACTGGTGGGGAATGGAAGGATTTACGGCAGGGTCTTCAAACTTGGCCCTTTTATGACTTGGCCCAGAATTCTGGGAGTTTGAAGTCCACAAGTCATAAAAGGGCCAAGTTTGAAGACCCCTGATTTATGGATTCAAAGGGGGGGGGACCTAACTCCTTTTTTTGGGGGGGGAGTGCCTTTTGGGACAGCCGGGACCTGGATGATTGACAATCGTCTGAAGCTCAACCCAGAAATTTCTGCCCACAAAGCTCGTACCTTAACCAGGAGGGGCTTGCCAGTCTCCCCTTTTGCTTGCCCTCCAACTGGATTAAGAGTCTGTCGTTCGGCCCCTCAACTCAGATTTCCAGAGCTGATTTCTTCCTGCGACTAAAGTCAGCCGTGTGAGATTCTCTCCTCCTCTCCTCCCCCCCCCCGCCCCAGTGATGCTGCTAATATGCAGATTTCTGCCTTATAGGTTACATAAGGTAGCTCACCCCTCGGTGTGCCATTGCACGTTCTGCTTTTGTCCCTGCTGCCTTTGCCCTCCTTCTAACTCTCCCTTCTTCCAGAAGAGCTTGAAGCAACGTCTGGGGAAAAGTAACATCCAGGCACGCTTAGGCCGGCCGGCGGGACCCCTGACTCGTGGAGGGTTAGGAGGACGGGGGCTGCCGATGGGGTACAGAGGCTTGCCCCGGGGCGCCATGCGTGGGGGCCGTGGCGCACGGGGATTTCTGCGCGGAGGGATCTCCCTGCGAGGTGAGTACCCTTGGGGGGGGCTCAAAAAAAGTGGCCTCTTCGTGCCCTTTGGCAGCAAGACTTGAAAGTTGTGGTTTTTCTGGGCTTGTAACGCGTTGCCGTCTTAGTAGCTTAGGAGTTACAGGTTGTTACGGGTCGTAAGTCCTCGGCTTACGACCCCAATCGGGACGCGAATCTCCATTGTTGAGCAGTAAATCGTGCCTAATTCTGCAGCCTTTTTTTGTTGTTGTTGAAAAGGGAATCACGGCAGCAATGGGGCGGTCGTTAAACGAGTCTGGCCGCTCCCATCGGCTTTGCTTGTTGGAAGCCGGCTGGGACGGTCGCCGGTGGCGATCACGTGATCCCACGACGCGGCCACCGTCGTAAATCCATGCCAGGGCCCGATCGGGTGACCGAGGGGACATGGCAGCAGTCGCAAGTGCGAAGGCTGCTCGCGGGTCACTTTTGCCAGCGCCTTTGTGACTTCAAGTGGTCGTAAGTGGAGGACTCCCGGCCATTAACAAACCTGAGGGTGTGATTGGGGGAGTGGCAGGAGGGGAGGCCCAATTCTTTTGAATTAGCCAGGAAGCTTTCTTGGCATCTAAACAGGGCCCAGCTTGTCGTATCTTTTTTTTGGGGGGGGGGGACAGAGAGAAACTTAGAGGTGGGGAAATTCTGTCATTTTGTGTTGTTTTTTTCAGGAGAATTGGGGGGTGGGTTGAGATTCTTTTGGGGGGGGTTGCCATGGAGAAGATGGGAACTCCTACCTAGGGAGGCTTTTTTAGGGGGGGGCATATAGAGATGGTTTGAATTTACTGACAGGGCCGTAAATCTCAAAGAGACCCTCTGCGTGGACCCTTCCCCTCTCCCTCTTACAGGACAGAGCTTGCTCCGGGGGGGACGGGGGATGGCCCCCCGGATGGGGCTGAGGAGAGGAGGCATGAGGGGCCGAGCGGGGCCTGGCAGGGGCGGCCTCGGCCGAGGAGCCATGGGACGGGGCGGCCTTGGCGGCAGAGGTGAGTGAAATGAACCCCGAAGGATCGTGGGGGGGGGGGCTGTCTCCAAACTCGGCCACTTTTTAAGCCTGGCGAACTTCAACTCCCAGAATTTCCCAGGCTGAGGGATTCTGGGAGTTGAAGTCCAGAAGTCTTCAAGCCAGGCCAGCTGAGGAATCCTGGGATTTGAGCGATAATAAAGATAATATCCCGAGTTTATGCTCTTCAAAATAGCTGGGGGGTCGTTGGGTCGGGCCTCCCATGCTCTCCCTCCCTCCTCGCGGCCTTCTAACCGTCTCTTCTCCCCTCCAAGGACGCGGCATGGCCGGCCGGGCCAGGGGCGGCTTCGGGGGCCGCGGGAGAGGCCGGGGCCGGGGTAGAGGTGCCCCTCGCCCAGCGCTGACCAAGGAGCAGTTGGACAACCAGCTGGACGCTTACATGTCGAAGACGAAAGGACACCTGGACGCCGAGCTGGACGCTTACATGGCTCAGACAGACCCGGAAACCAATGACTGAGACTGGAAAGGGGGGGCTTGGTGGGGGGGCACGGGGTGTGTGTAGAATGGTCCTCCCTCCCCTCCTGGCAGCCCAGAATTGCCACCAGGGAGGACCTCCGAGGCAGAAATGTAGAAAACCCAGGACCCCCCTATCCCTTTCGAACGTTTCCTCTTTGATGTTTTGACCTTTCTAAAGGCCTCTAAACATTTGGGGGGGGGGCTGAGCAGCTCCTGTTGGTCCCCCCCGTTTTTATTAGCCAAGCAGCCTTGTCTCGCCCTCCCGGGGACCCCCATCTTCGCCCCGCAGTGGAGGAACAACGCATGTCTCCCCCTCCCCAAACACCCCTCCCAAAGGCCAGCTTTGAGGGAGGGGATCTGCCAAATCGGAGACCCTCCCACACTTTCCTGCCCAACGGGCCGTGCTGTGGCTTTGTGGCTGGGAGCTCCAGGCGTCGGGATCCTTCCCTCCCCCAGGAGAAAATGAATTAAAATCCGGCCCCAAATTTAATTCTCTAAGCCCAACAGCCCCAGAAGAAGCCGAGAGGGGTTTTTAATTATTATTTGTGCGTTTTAACGGCGACTTCTCACTGACATGTTCTTGGGGGGGGGGCATTGGGGGCGTTTGGGTTGCCAAGGAGACGGTTGCTCTTCCTCTCCCCCCCCTCCACCCTCCCACCCTCAGGATCTGCAGTTTTGTGAACTCTGTTCTGAACGGCATCTTGTAACATCCCGGTTTTTCTGTAAGAAACAATTGCGGGGAAATGAAAACTTGGACTGTGTGTCGTGTGTCGTCGTCATTGTTTTTTCCCCAAGGAAAGATGCCAGTCGGGAGTCCAAATGATGAATCCAGTGGTGGGGTTGGGTGGGTGGGAATCTGCAAAGAATTGAATTGTGTTGGTACCTTCAGCCCCATTGCTGGCCACCGTCTGCCGAGATCCCCTCCCAATTTTTCTTTAAATTTCCTATAGAGTTTTCATTTCTCAACTTCAATAGGCAGCTAAATAAACAGTCTATAATTAAAAAAAACCTAGCTCTCTAATTTTCCTTGTCACAAAGTTTGGGTGCTCCATTTTCTGGGGTGTCCCTTTTCTCAAATCATGCTCAAGATTTGATTGATTTGCACTTCTGGGGTGTGTGGAAAGGCTGAGAGACCGGGGGGGGGGGGGGAACCAACTAAGGAATGTCCTTTGTGCCCTATCACAGCTTGTTCGCTTTGGGCATCTTCCATATTAAAATTTGAAAATAGAACACAAATATTCTCTTTTTGTTGATTCAACCACGCTAAGCCCAAATCAGGGTTTGTGTACCACACTAGCCGGGTAGTCATTTTCTGCAAAACCAACAAACCAAGATGTGGGGAACTAGCCCTGGGGACCACCCACCCCTCTCTCGATTCTTTCTGCTGGGGCAGATTTTGTGTTTAATTGGCTGCCTATCGTAACACCAGGCTTACAAACAAAAGATAAATATATCATGATAGATAGATATGTTAATAGATTTATTGTGGTTTGATCTCTGGAAAATTAATATTTTGTTGGCTTTCGGTTAAAAGCTTCCTGGCTTACTGGGAGGAGGAATGGAATACAAGATTGGCTTTGCTTTATTTATAAACAAATGGTGTATACGTAAATGAATAGAATAACTTTATTAATAGCCACTTTAATCAGCATATATTAAAATGAGACTTCGTTGCATGCAGCTCTCAAAAGGGAACTCCCTCCAATATGCCATATATAAATATTATAAAATCTAGGAAGGCTTCCAATTACAGCTCTAGGGGGGAGACCCCAACTCAACGCAGCTCCTTCTATCCCAGGCGCCCTCCGACCCTGCGAGGGGGGAAAAAACGGGGCGTTGCAAGCGACTTCCCCCCTCCCCCTAAATTTTATATTATATTAGATTCAAAAGGGCACCAGACTTTCGGGAGGACTCGGTTTCCCAGGGTGCCTTTGGGCAGGCGTCGGCGTGGGCAGCTGCCGCGCAGGCGCTCAACGGCCCGGCTGCGTTTCCAGGTAAGGCTGTGCGCAGGCGCGGGTTCTCCCGGCAGGCTCTGCGGCGGCAGCAATGGCGGCGGCGGCGGCGGGCATTTCCAGCCCAGCGGTACCGGCCGCCCGGGACCTCTTCGCCGAGGGGCTGCTGGAGTTCCTGCGGCCGGCCGTGCGGCAGCTGGACACGCACGTCCACGCCGTCAGGTAGGCAGGCGGGTGTCCGTCCGGTTCAGCCGCCGCGTTCAGAGCCCGCCGGGTGGGGGTGTAATCCGTCAGGTGCAGCTTCCTTTCGGTTAGGCTGTGTGTGTGGCTCAAACAGGTAGGCAGACAGGTGGGTGTCCGCCTAGTGCAGCTGCCCTCAGTTGAAGGCGAGGCTGGGCTTCTGCGTTCAGAGCCAGGCAGGTGGGGGTGTAATCCGTCAGGTGCAGCTTCCTTTTCCTGGACATGCACGTCCATGCCATCAATTAGGGATGGCGTGTGTGTGTTGCAGAGACAGGCAGATAGGTGGGTGTCTGTCCGGTGCAGCTACCCTGATTTGAAGGAGAGGCCATGCTTCTGCCTTCGGAGACAGGCAGGTGGGGTGTAATCCATCCGGTGCAGCTTCCTTTAGGCCTCATTGTGGATTCAATCCGCTTAAAAGACCCCCCAGACCCAATTCAGGCTGTCTTTGTCTCTCTCCGGCAGGGAGAGCCAGGTGGAGCTGCGGGAGCACATCGACAGCCTGGCTGCAGGTAAGTCCGGACATTAGTGGTGGAGCCCACTTTGCCCCCCCGCCAAGCCCCCCACCACAGTTTTTCCCTCCCTCCCTCCCAGAGCTCTGCCGGATCAATGAGGACCAGAAAGTTGCCCTCGACTTGGATCCCTACGTGAAGAAGCTGCTCAACGCCCGGCGCAGGGTCGTCCTGGTGAACAACATCCTGCAGAACGCCCAGGTGCCTTGAATGGGGCTGGATTGCGGGCAGGGGATGATGGGGATTGGAGTCTGGCACAGCCCAAAGGGTGTCTAGAGACACGATGGGGAGGGGCAGTTTCTGTAGTTCTTTGTGGATATTTTTTGCAGCTACCAAAATGGAGTAAGAAAGTTGAGCTTTAGTTTTTTTCCTCGTAAAGGACTAGCAACTTAGCTGAGGGGTTTGAAACATTGTCAGAAGCCAGGCAGCTTATTAATTAAAGTGCTCTGCTAACCGTGTTCCCCGCAGGAGCGCCTGAGAAGGCTCAACCACAGCGTGGGCAAGGAGACCGCCCGGAGGAAGGCCTTCCTGGACGCCAGTGGCAACTACCCCCACAGCTCTCCCAGCAAGTGAGGAGGGGGGCCGGAAGGGCTGGGAAAAAAAAAATTCCCGAGCTTGTAGCTGTTTTTACAAGACACCACAAACTCCTGAATAAATCTTGGAAAGGGACAAAAAATATAATAATGGGCTTTTGGGGTACTGCAGCCCAGAGGAAAGGATTTTGCTGGGCTCGTTTTGCAACTCAAAGCAGAGAGGAAGAATGGAAGTAATTTTGTGTCACGGGGTGTTAAAATTATACTCCCACGGAGTGGAAGGATGATTCCCTTAACGGGTGTGGGATAATAACAACAACCTAAAAAGTTGGACCGTGATTTTTTTCCCCTTCTGGGGGGAAAAAATAAAGTTTCAACGAAAATGAACTCTGTTTGTCTTGCAGGCTGATTTTGGAAAAAAAAAAGGGGGGGGGAAGGGGCAAAGGAAAAATGCCTAGGAAAAGCGTGGCTGAGTGTCTTTTACACCAAGGAGCAGTTAAGAACATCCCCGTGGGTTAAACCCTAAATTTGCACCTGCTTTGGGGGATGAATTCGTTGAAAAAGCATAGGAGGCAGTGCAATTTCCAGCAAAAATGTGACTGCTTCAGACCCAGGAGGGTTTGCTGGATGACTTGAAAAATTCAGAAAAATAACCAAAGTCACGGGAAGTTTAGCACAGAGGGTAATTCCCCCCCCCCCCCTTCTGTAGTGAAAAGGGCTGTTAAAAAGGTCTTGGAAGGGGACAAAACACCACCTTTTTATAAGGAACAGCTCATTTTAATGGTAAAAGTTATAAAAACGAAGACATTTAAGAACTGGACAGAGAGGAGGGCGACGGGCTTTTTCGGATTCTGTGGCTGGCTCATCCAATCGCGTTTGAGACGTGGAGAATTCCTCTGAAAGACAAACAGGATTGAGTTTGAATCTTAAAATCCCCTTTTTAATTTTTTTTTTTTGGGGGGGGGGGGGCTCCGGTTTTGGTACAATCGCCTGTTACAGTTAAGGCTGCAAATATTTCACGAAGAAGCCCCAGCCAGCCCTTTCTGAGATCCTGGCTTGGGACTGTGAGCTTTTGGTGAGTCCTGCTTTGGGGGACACGAGAACAGGTGTTCAGAAGGCCTTAACCCGGTTGATCCCACCTGAGCCCTTTGAGAAGATTCCCCCCCTTCCGCCTCCAGAGGGAAAAATGGCGCAGCAACAGGATTCAAAATGTACCTGAGCGCCCGGATCACTCCTGTGTTTCCATGTTCTCCTCCTCCTCGCCCGCGGGCGGCTCTTCCTGGTTCTCTTCCTCCTCCTCCCCTTCCTTCTTTTCCGGCGGCTTCTCGTAAGCCTTCTCCGACGGGGTCACGATCACCCCTTCCCAGGTGGACATTTCCGTCGCGAGGTCTGCAAACCAAGGAACTTCAGTGGTCCAGGAAGATGGGCGAGGGGCCCCGCCAGCCACCCCTTGGTGCCCATTTCTCTGGGTTTCTTACGGACTCAGATTGGTGGCCTCGCCCTCCCTCCCCCCTCCCCCCTCCAGGTCTCTCCAAACGCTTCCACACTTACAGTTGGCGTCTCCCTCCTGCCCCAGGATCTTGCGGTAGCCCCCGTGAGAGAGAATGCGGACGAGGGTTTGAGCCGTGTAGCAGACCATGTCCTTTAAGAGGAAAAAAGATGGAGGCTGCCCTGAGTTAGGGGGCTTCAGACCTGGGAAGAATTAAACCCCACTTTTCACGGCCTCGCTGCTCTTCCTCTTAAATTTAACCAACTGTACAGAGAAGCTAAGTCAGGTTTATAAACAAGAGTTTCCAACACTAGCAAATGAGACACAACTTGTACAATTTGCAACTATAATCACAGCGCCAGGCTGTATTTAATGGGACAGCCAGGCGTCGAAGCGCAAAGAGTTTCTAACCAAAGTTGCAAATGACACAGGAAAAAAAGCCTAAATTTAAAAGGCTTTAAATTTATTTAACTATAATCATGCAGAGAGATTTAATTGGGGCATCTGGCAGGCCGGGCAAGCGACTCGGCTGCAGTCAAGGCGAACTGGGAAAAGCTCTGATCGGTCTTGAAGGTGACCCAATTTAAGGCAGGACGCTACCTGCTGCTCCAGGGTCATAACGGTGTGGACTCGGAAATTCCCGCTCTCACAAGGGTCAGTGATGCCGACCGAGCCGGGAAGGAACAGCCCCGCAGCCAAGATCTGAAGGCAGCGCCTGGGAAGAAGAAAAACAAACAAACAAAAAAAGCAGAAAGATAAAAGTTTCTCCATGGCTATTCTTGATCGGGAATTTGAGTTGCTAATGTTTTGATCCCGAAAAGCAAGTGCAAAGCTTGGAGTGTGGTGTGTGTGTGTGTGTGTGTTCCCCTTAAAGCACTCAATGGGGCTTTAAGGATGACCAGAAGGAAGGAAACTTTTTCACCCTTCAAATAAAATAAAAAAAACCCATCTCAACTCTTGGGAACGTGGTTTTCAACTGTACCTGTAAGCTACGTTCAGAGCCAACGGCTGCCGAGTCGGGTTGTTCATCACTGCGTAGTGTCCCTGGAATCACAGAGAAAAAGAGACCTTGGATTCAGCGAGAGGAGAGTTTGATTTTCACTTCCCTCTGCCTGGGAGCTCGAATCTACCAAGTGTGAACTCGGGAATAGGAATATTTGGGTGATCAAAGGGATTGGCATCCTCACGGTCCACGTTTTGCCTGATGGGATGGTGGCCAATTCTATTTAAGGGAACAATGTTTATAGCTAAAACCAGGATCGGGGAAAATGACAAAACGGCTGGCGTTCAAATCCAGGAGTGGCTCTCTGGGAAAAGGCCTAAAATTAAATTATTTGGGCCGCCTTTTTGGATCCCAAGAATTCTGCTTCCCTAAACGACTTGGCTATCAGATCTCAAGGGAGGTGGAAATTGAAATTTGGGCTCTATACGGCGCAAAAAGAATGCAACTGGCGAATCTAAATTTTGGAATTTGGTTTCCTTTAAACCTCCCCACTGGTTCTGAAACCTACGAGTAAGTCCAGGATCCACGGCGTGAGAGGCTCGAAGCCCGGAAACCGCATCCTGAGGTCCTTTAAGAGGCGGATCAAAACTTTCACCCTGAAAGGAGAAAAGGGCAGTGGTGGTCCTCTCCGAGGCAAAACCTTTGGGCCAGGAAGCTGAGGAGTTGGTTATCTCCACCTCAGCAAACACCTTCAAGTAATGCACAAGGACCACACCAGTTTGCGACGGGGCCCAAACCCGTGCTTGAATATTTGACTGGGAAAACTGCCACGCTGAGAAACAGCTGGCTTCTAGACAAAATTAAAGCAACAGTATTACAGCCTGCTTCGAAACAACTTGGCTTAAGACAAGGCAGCCACAAACTAGGCTAAACAGAAGCCAAAAATGCCAGGCAAAATGCAAAAACGTGCTCCTCTTTTGCAGGGACAGAAAGCAGCTCCCAGATCCCCCCAAAAAACAAAAATTCCAGAAAAAAATAAACTTACGTGGACTGCGAGGCGTTTTCTTCAAACCAGCGGGCATGTCTGATGGCGGCCAGGGCGCTCTGGAGCACTTTAATATCCACTGGGGGGGGGGGGGGGGGGGAAAAACTTTT